CCCCCCGCCGCCGCTGCCGCGAGCGAGGACTATCGATGTCCGTGGCGTCTCCTCCTAAATCGATTTTGCTATCCAGCTGGCTCTACACGTGAAGAAACCGCGTGTCGCTTGTCAGGAGTATTAATGAACGAGATGTTTGAGCTTAATTTTTATCTCGAATACGCAATATATATAGAACTTTAATTTCTTTAAGACATTGTCGTTTATTATTATTATTAAACGGACCAACTGTTCGATTTTTTCTCTTCCTCTTTACTCGCTCCATAATTAATACTATATGTATTATATAAAAATTATATCAAATGCTTCCCAGAATTTAGATCTCAAGTCTGGTGAAGTCTTCATTAAAAAAAAAAATGAGAAAATTACAAATTGTCCTTTCATTTACTATCTGAAGAAAATCTCCATGATCACAATCTTAACATCGCCTATAAGTTTCTGACACTAAACAGCTGATGTGATCGGGATATCGGCCACCCCGTATCTCCACGTATAATTGCTCCACGTTTCGCGACGCTTCCTTTTTAAGGCTGGTAACGGCGTGGCCGCATAGCTAGACCGCATGACGCCAGACCCGCATTAAAGCCGCGCTTTTACGGCTCGGGGAGTCCCTCCTTTTTTTCCCTCCCCCTGCCATCCCATAGTGTCCGAGCGAGGCAAAACGAGCCCTAGTGGTCCTCGATAAAACAAAACGCGCAAGGGAATCCAAGAGAAAGCGAGCGAGAGAGAGAGAAGAAAGTGTTCCAAATCATGGAGGATGAGAAGGGTGGGGAGGAGAGGGTACGACTACGCGCACACAATGGAGCCCCGCGGGAAGAGGGACGACCGGGAAGAGCAAAAGCGGCGAATTAATTGTCGCTCGCCCAGCTCGCCCAGCTCGACCCGCCGACGAAGCCGCTGCGATCTACGGGCCTGATTTGTAGGCCGCGCGTATATATCACCGCGGCCACACGCGTGTGCGTACTTGATTCCCTTCTCCTTCCTCCTACGTTTTCCTCTCTTTCCCTCTTTTCCGCTCGGAGACGACGGAGACTCGCAGGTCACGATGTGACTGCACCGAAGACGGTGGTGGTGCTGGGTGGCTGACAATGAAACGAGTCCAGAAAAGGAGACAGTGTGTGTGTGTGTGCACAAGGGAGAAAGATAGAAAACAAAGAAGGAAGAAGAAAGAGAGAGAGAATGAGCGAAGGACGGGAGGGCGAGGATGATAGAGGAAAGAGAGACGAGGAGAGAAAACAGAAATAAAGACAGGAGCGAGAAGACTGTGCGCGACCATACACGAAGGTGAGTTCAGAGGGAAGGGAGATGAAGAAGAGAGAGGGATAACTTAAGGATCTCTCCGCAGAAATAAGATAGAAAAGGATGATACTACGAACAATGCACCGACCGAGTCCCCCGTCGCTTTCCCCCCCCCCCCCCCATCCTTTCCCTCTCTGTGTCCACTCTTGTCCCCTCTTCCATCTCTTTATTCTTGTTTATTATTCAATGGGGCCAGGAGGTGCTCGTTAATTGATGACACCGGCCATAGCCGATCGGCGCGGGAGAGAAAGAGGAAAAGAAAGGGGTAAGGCGGGGAAGACCGAGTCGGACGTGGGGAGGAAACGGGGGTGGGAGAGACCGGCCTCCACGAGGACCACCATCGCCTTATTTATAACGCCGGAGGGGTAACCGAATTCACGATCAAAATCCCGCGTTTCGCGGCATTGATGGACCGCCGGGCGCTGCGCAACACCGGCGACAACTCTGGTATTTTCAAATGAATCCGCCCCTTTTTCCCTCGTGATACTTCCACATGGAGAAGTCGAAGGATAGGGGTGGAAGCGAGCTGTACCTCCTGCTCTGCTCACTGGCGTTCTCTCTCTCTCTCTCTCTCTATCTCGTGCCTCCCTCTCTTTTCATCCCGGATGACATCGACGAATTCCGCGGGGCAACCTGCTGCCGCGGAGATACCTCGGGGATTTGATTTCTATATGCAGGTGTTCGTTCATTCGTTGGCTCGATCGATAGATAGCGAGGAACTGCAAGATCGGATGCTTTCTCTCCTCCCTATGCGTTTATATCCGAAAAGCAAAAGACCCGATTTACACAATACTTTTCGTACTATAATAGTGTAAATAACATTCTAGTCTTCTAGCGAATTAGAAAAGTAACAGTTAAAAAATATAATTTATAGATATAACTATACTGTATAATTTTCACGTTTGCTAATTATTATTATTAATAAAAAAGCAACTCTAATACGAACTTATCTCGTTAGGTTGATGATTTTCAAATAATCGTACGTCTCAGTTAGAAGGGATCGCTTTTGATTCTTACATTATTGATTACGACACAAAATGAGATCCGGTAATCTTCCATTTCGCCTCTTCTATCTATCGAGTATATTGCTTTCCGATAAAATTGCCTGACGGAATGTAAACGGGGACGCGCGGTGATTATGCGCCTCGTAACGAGCCTAATTAAGCCCGTGCTCGGGGCTCGTAAAGTTTCATGGCGAAATGAAGATGCATTATCGGCCAGTAATATGCAGTAAAAGCCATCTAATGATAACGCTGGTATAGTAGCACAGGCTTCGTCAAGCGAGCATGTCGCAGCAACTTGTACATTAATCCTCTCATAAGTTTCAACCTATTACATAAATACCGTGGACAGATTTAGCAATTATTTCGAAAAACCCTTTTCACTGAAACGCTACTTTGTCGTAATAAAATAAGATTAGCTAGAATGTAATTTTTCAAGGCTTTAATTCTTAATCAAGACACGTATATAATATAAGGATTATTTTAAGAAAATAATCTCAATTTAACACGTTCTATTTATAAACGACAAAAACATGATTGATTTGAAATTTTTAATCTCTGTTGAAATTATTTATTGTACGAAATTATGTATCTTATTTCTATTATCCTCACTGTTTATTAAAAAAAAAAAAAAGTATATAAATAAATCTGAAAATATACTTAAATATGTAAATTATTTGAAATATTTTACAACAATGAAACGTTCTTCGTATTATTGCAGACTTCTGGGCCGTGGTTCCATGCACGTGTTCTCTAGCGAGCAATTTCAAAAGCTAATGGACGCGAGCGGCTTTACAGGTCCCTGGCATTCCTTGGTGGACCTCGGGGCAGGTGATGGCGCAACCACCGCCCACGTGGCGCATCTCTTCGAAAAGGTGTACGCCACGGATATCTCACCCCCCATGAGGTGGGCTCTGGCGAAGAGAAAATTCACGTATGTAAATTTCATCAAGTAGCGCGTCTTGTCTTTTGCGTTTTTTTAAATGGTACAATGCTGCAATATATGAAAAAAATTAGGTTATATTAACAGCAGTCTTTTAATAAAATTTAATTAAAGTCCTGGAAAATGTATTTGAAATTCACACAGAAATATTATTAGCCACCAAGATTTAGCCTCGACCATATTTTTATATATAGCGCTTATTACTTTACTACCCTTATAGAAATCTAATAATGGTCAATTTAATACTGAAAAAACAGCAGTTACTTTTATTTGGAGTACTAACAGTACTAAACAAGAACTTTAAATACTTAAAATAAGTAATTAATTTTTATCTTTATACTGTTAATACATCATTTTGTTTCGTGTAGAAATTCTTACGAATATAATGAAATCTATTTGGTTAACTTTTAAAATTTAACACGCTGAAACAGGCCTTAAAAGCTTTCTCGTAGATTTCTGCGAGTTTTTTTTTACTACTTTTAGCAAACGTCTGAAATTTATAGACAAAAGCACGACGTGTAACTTAATTTGCCCGAAATTAGCATATTCGTAATCAAGGGACGGAATATTTCTGAAATCGATTGTGTTATTGCAATCATTGTGCACATTTATATAAAGGCGATTCGATCTGAATATATTCTGCAAGGAATTTTTACTAGTTGGACGGAAATTTTTCAAATGGCAAAGCTCCCTTGCGAGCGTGGAGTCGCATATGCGAGAATGCGAAACAGATTACATTCTTTGAATCGAATACGTGCGGCCAAAGGTGGGCGGTGGAATCTTCGCTCCTTGAACGTGCATTTACATTTTCTCGTAACGGCGACTGCACACGCTCGGTAGACTCGCACGACACGTATTTTATCCTCATCACAGCTTAAAGCGCCTGTATTCACGACTTTCCTTGACATCTACGATACCGAGGAAATTACTTCAAATTCTTACCTTTACTTTTATGAATTATCGAGTAACTTTTAATTGATTTAGAATCGATCTTTTCGTCGCGAGATCCATTTTTTTCTCGTTTAGATTCAAATGAATAATTGTTTTTTATGACATTGTGTTAATAATAATAATAACTTAAAGTTTCTGTTTCTTAACACCTATATGATGGTGATTTTTATGTACTGCGGATTATCTCCGTGTCTAGAGTCATTAATTGTTAAAATGTCAACGTTTTATGAACATTGTAGTTCAGTTTATTGAGGTGAGGATCAGCCTCACAACAGTATCAGACTGCTCCCTGCCCTGATAAAGTGAATTACAATATTTATGAAATGTTGGCACACATTCTAACAATGAATCTAGACACAGAGATAACCCACGAAACGCGTACCTTCTTTATATAAAGTACCCGTGGATATATACATATATTACACATACATTATAAATTTTTCTTATTATACATATAAGAAATTCAAAGTGGAATTCCGAATTTTTAAAAATTAAAGGGTGATGGCATTGTTGATAAGCATATCTTTTTTTTCAGTGTAAAAAGTCCTCACAAGAAATCATCCACTATCTGTTGAAAATCAAAAAATTAATCAAAATTTATTACACTGTACAACGACGTGATTAAATACATCGAGAAAAAGGAAGGAATAGAATTTATGTAAATCCACGAACGCGTGAATCAGATCAGTAAGAAATCGGCCAAGTACGACGGTTCGCAGTTACTCGATACGGAACCTCGATAATGTAAGCACTCGCAATTATGCGCACCGTTCCCGGGCGAATTGAGGGGCCATCACAAGCGGTGTTATTACGGTTATCTAAAAAAACGTGGGCTTCATTATAAAGTGAGATAAGATAATTGATCAGCGGGTCCAGCCGGTCCCGTCGCGTATTCGCGCCGGCCGGGGCCGACCGATAAAGCGGCACTTGTCTGTCGACACTCGTGTCGATACGTAATATTCTCAACACGATGCGCCACTAACAAGTTTATTGCGCCGAATTGATTGGAGTAGAAGTTTACGATGGTTTTACACCCGGAGCGGATCGGAGCGGACGCCACTATCGGAACGCGCCGCCCTGAGTCGCTACTCGAATTTTAAATGAGCGTCCGTGGGGCGCGACGAATCCCGTAACTCGTTTTATACAACTTCAACTATCTCCGGGTACTCACCGTCCGCTCCGTGTAAAATTAGCCGATGTCTAGAGTTCCGTTCCTCGGCTTGCGTTTCTGAAAAAGAAGCTATTTTTGTCAAAGAGAAATTTCAATTCGATTTTCACTGCATATATCCTTTATGATGAGATGAACTCGCGACGTTTTATAAAATTTGAATGATCTGAGGGTCTATTAAATAAACAAAATTATTTTCAATTAGAGCATTAGACTGCTGTTAGCTATTGTTTCCTCTTAAAAATAAAACTAAAATAAAAGTATAGTGCTATGAAACGCTAAAAGTATAAAATTCCAAATATCCGAATAATTTACATAAAAAATACGAAAAATTTTTTCCCGAATATGCCCTTTAATTGTTCATTTTTTTGTGCAGAGTACTCGACGTGGAGAGGTGGCATCAGGAAGCTGGTCCTTACAATGTCATCCTCTGCCTGAACCTCCTCGATCGTTGTGACCGTCCAAACACTCTATTGAGGCTTCTGAGAACCTCACTGGCTCCCGGTGGCAGACTAATCGTCGCCTTGGTGCTGCCGTTCAGCCCCTATGTCGAAGTCGGCGAAAGAAATAATCACAAACCGTCAGAGTACCTACCAGTGCGAGGAAGTGGGCTCGAGATTCAGATAGTCAGTCTGATCGACCGGGTCTTCGCTCCGGTGGGACTGCGATGCCTCGTCTGGAGCAAACTACCGTACCTTTGCGAAGGTGATCTAGGACAGTCGTACTACTTCCTGGACGACGTAATCTTCGTGCTGGAGGCGCAGCCAGTTAATACACGATCCTGCGAGTTCGCGATAAACGACGGTGTTTCGCTAAAGAGGAATTTTTAAGGCTTCAAAAGCCAAGCGGGCTATGTACAGTGTATTTATGGGAATAACTAATGGGGGCCAGAGAGAAAAAGAAAGAAGATGATACCAGGCGTGTCTTTCACACTTGTAAAAACTTTAATAATTGCTGTCATGAGTTAGAATTATGCGAGAATACAGAAGAGCAATACTGGCAAGCGACGACGAGCTTAATGTGCAGACACAGCGGTTAGCGTTTGGTGTACGAATATCGATTAGCGATCCGAGTTAAAAAGGGAACGACGGATCGACAACGGTGCGCATTTTACAATCATTTATCATCTTACTGTCGAATTCGGTGCGGAAACATGTACACGGTCTCTATGGTATAGATATGGCGCGAGAGTAACGAGATTCGGAAACGAAATCTGTACTTATCCTTTTTCTATCTTTTCCTGATGTGCTCGACTTCGTTCGAGAGAACGCGTACCTTTAGAATCAAATCTTATCTTGCTCTAATTATCTAAACTAGTAGAAATTAACGGACGGCAAAGGAGAATATTAAACTAACGCACATTAAGGCAACAGTTGCAGCCATTGCAGTGATAAAACTGCAAAACGAATAATGGGAAACGAAACATTTTTAAACTTTAACGATAATTAATCTAGAACATAAAATAGATAACAACATTATCGTTGATAATAAAATACAGCGAATATAATAAAGAAACTTACTGCAATGCTGCGACTTTTGCTTAAAAAAAAAAAAATAAATAAATAAACGCACAAACTCCTCGTCACATCGTCAAACAATTGCGCTATCGTGTTTAAATCATCAATAAGATAAGATTTATCTCAGACGCAATTCCTAACATATTACGTATTTCGAATTTCTATTTCAGTATATTCGATCAACTCCCTTTCTCGTCAGACTCTGTTTCCGCGCTCCCTTTTCTCTATTTGGCATAAGTTGCAACGACTTAGTCATGGATATGCTTAAAATTGCGTTGATCACACGGATCGACCGATCGAGATACAAACGACGTTACGTTTGCATTTTTTTAATAATACGTAATATTTTATAAGAAATAAGTCCACCTAGTTATTGGAAATACACTTTGATGTGCAACAAGTTATCGTCGAATTATGAACCATATTACAGCAGCCTTCTTGTCAATATATAATATTACATATAATATTATATATGTATGTCAACAAAAACGCAGTCTATAGAAGCCGGATCTGCATTCGTTTAAATAGCTATAATAGCCATGAAAAACAAATAAAGAATCACTGTCAAGAATTATTCCCCAGTCTTGTTAATTGTCATCATATATCACATGCTTCCTATTTTCGAACATAATAGAATGCAAGGTGAAAGAGGAATACGATATAGAAATTATATGAAAGAGTAATAGATTAAAAAAAAAACCAACAAAAGAAAATAATTCGCATGGTCTTTCAAATCATGGATCCGACTCCTAAATGGTAATCGATCGGCACATTCGCTGCATACGTGTAGTAAATAATAACAGATACATGTATAGAAAGATATCTTCAACATGCACGCATCCATATAAAATTTTGCTATTTGATAGCCAAAACTTTGCATTCTTGCAGATACATATACACACATCCCACAAAACAGAGCTCACACATTCGAGTGCTGCGCACTATTTCGCATTCGCGGTATTACACGGCATTTATCGCTTACATCCAAAGACGAACGCTTTGTAACTTTATATTATCGAGAGAAAGAAGGAAACATTTTATCATACCGCTTATATGCGCATATAACAACCGAGTAGGAAACAATTTTACTCCTGCAACTGATTCGATATGCCGTTTACTCGAGGAAGCGTTCGATCGAGATCACAATCGCGATCCTCTAATTTGCAGTTTTCTCTTGCAAGAGCAAAAACGTTTCTGCGTAATAATACTTAGTGCACGATGAAGTCTTTGAGCGTCAGTGCGAATCACACCCCCTTAAGAGTTCTCTAATGACATAACAATTTCGTTCTTTTTCCTTTTCTACGTATATATTAAGAAATAATTTTTTTTCTTTTTTTTTTCAAAAAATACCTATATGAATTGACCAATGATTTATTTTTCACGTGCACACCGCATATACTGCCTATGGGAGCTTATTACAAATCTTTCAACATTTGTAACATATGTTTGTTCAACGAACAGTACTAGAAATAACAATGATATATGTTCATTTTATTCTTAAAAATAAGTAATAACGTATTCATATAAATCTTTTTAAAAGAAGATATGCATACATATATTATAACATATACAATTTATATATATACGTACACGTATGCATATAAATCATGTACATATATATTATAAATTGAACACAATTATTTCGCTAATCCAATAACTCTCGTTTCCACATGTTAATTCAAAGTTCTACATTAAAGAATATACTATATTTAACAAACGAGTTAAAAACATGTAAAACAAAGCAACACGAGTTTAATAATCGAGGAAATTGTCAACTTATTTATTCTTTCTTTATGCGCCTATGTCGCGAATGTTGAAGTAGTAATCGATTAGTAGCAAAAGCTTTTGTACCAAATCAATTTAGTCTTTGCTTCTCATATTGACATACGTTTTACATGCCTACATAACAGTTTTATACATATAAAAGAAGCCTTATATATTATTAATCAGGTAATAATTATTGGAACACAAACGGCAAATTATTAAATCGATACAGTAAATATAAAGGCTATCCATATTGAATATCTACTATTTATGTAATTTATGTAATCATAACTCAGTCGCTAGGCTTTCAGTAATCATAACTCAGTCGCTAGGCTTTCAGTAATTATGGGATTAATCGATAGATTATTTGCCGAATAAGCTCCATAGGCAGATTGAGAGCAATGACAATACGAAATCAAGTTACAGCGATAAAATAAAGCTAGTAAGAAATCCCTAAAATGACGCGGTGTGTAAGTTTAGTCCTACATATAAATCTTTTTTGTTTCTCGCTACCCACTTTTATCACAGTCCACGCATGACTCATTTTGTCTCTTAGTATTTGAAGTCCTAAACGCCAACAACTTTTTTGAGCAATCCATCGGGTTGTTTAGATACGAAACACCCAGCTAATTAATAAACATCTTGTGACTAGAACATCATAGAGCGCAAAAAGACGAAACTTGGTCTGTCGCGAGTAAAGCGAAGACGACGGTTAGTCTAACTTACGCTGCTCGCATAATTCTTCCATCCCGCTAGCCTTTCTGTTAAAAAAAAAAATAAAAGAATATCTATATATATATATACATATATAGATAAAACACAGTAGAAATATACTTTTGAGGCTTTCACGGGTGTTTTCTTCAGAGGTCCCAAGGATTTACGGATTATCGCCGTGTTGTGATTCATTGCTAACGTCAACCAGTATCAGTGCGCTCCTTGCCTTAGTGAAATCAACAAGGTTCACGAAATGCATTAGCATTAGCAATAGATCACGACGATAAACCCTTTGGCACCTCTAAATAGTAAAAATATATGTATATTAACAATAGAGTTAAAATAATAGTAGAGTTGCAGTTAAGTAAAATTACTCACAACGTTGACAGGTAAGGGGTACCGGTGTGATCTAATCGGTGTTTATCTTCATTTTTCCAGCTCGAAACTGGAATATGTGGAGGCGGCAAGAAGCTTCTCAACGACTGTACAAGCTGTATGGTATCGACCAATGCTGCAATTAAGAATAAGCAATGTGAAAATCTCTGTAAATTACTTTGAGAAGAAATTTTGAATAAAAATATAAAATTTGATAGCACAATAAATTTATATAGAAAAAAAAAAGAAAAGGAAAAACAGTTGATAAAATTAAGAGTCTTTACTTTTTTGCAGAGCCTCGGATTGTTTGCCGTACGGCTTGCACATTGCCGGTCGTACGCAAGCTTTCATTCTTGCCATGTTTTTCATCACTTCTGCGAAAGCGCGCACAATTTTCTCTTGACCACCTGAGACAGTAGAATAAATTCATTAATTTTAACGGTTAATCCTTTCATTACAATTGTCTCTGTTACAAAACGCATTGTAATATGACTGTATGAGCCGCGTATTTCAAAAGGATTACGTCTAAATTATTAAACTGCCTAATACATCGGTATTCTTTACGAAAAATATCTAGTAAACGAGTCGTTGCAATATGTATTATATATTATTTCAAAACAGTGTATATATTACAAGTTCTTAATTACCTTCTGAATTTGAAGATGATCGGGATCCCTTTTCACTTTCTAAAGGCCATGCACCGTTGTGTAGCGCTAACAAGTCCTTGTTGGCGTTTCCTAATCCTTGTAAGTTTCCTAAACCGAGAGAAGTGAGATTGTCCAAGTTATCCAGATTGGTACGTAAAAAGTCCGTCAACTTATGATCGGAGATTGGTATATTAGGTATTAGAGATTCATAATGCTGCTTGCCGGATGGCACTTTCTTCTCTTGCGATACAGGCCGATGCGGAATATTTAATGACGGACGGCTTGGGGGACGTTGAAGATTCATTTGGTTGCCAGCACTCCTCATCTCTGATAAATCTGCCGCGGATCCTCCTCCCATGTGTGTATTCGGATTAGCGCTGCTTAGGCTCTATAAAGAGATAAACGTCAGGTATATGGTAAAATGTTAAATTAAAAAATTTTTAAACAGATGATTGATGATTGAGAGTACGTGTGTTACACACAATTTTTAAAGCCAATATATAATCATAAGATTTTTACAACATATATATATATATATATATATATATATTATGTGTATAAAAAAAACTAGTGTATGTAATAACAAGTATAGGAGATATATAAAAAATTAGCTCACTACCTGGAAATCTGTACTATGTGGAAAACCAGTACGTAGAAGAGACGCAGTCGCTTCATTCTCTTGAATATAAGTTGGTGCCATGTGACCCATCTTCTGAGTGAGCTCCAGCTGATTCTTGTAGTAACGACAAGCAGGATTGGGACAGTTTTGCACGACTTCTATGATAAACTCTTTCTCCATCCCGAAGCACTCTCTTCCAATGGTGTAAGATTCCATGACTGCTCTGACTGTACCCTCTAAGCCCAAGTGTAAGCCGTGTGGTCCGTTCATGTGTTTCAACATTACGGCATTGGCAAAGTGTTCATAGGGTAGTATTATTTTGCCATTCTCTCTAAGGACTAGTCTTCCCTGTGAATCTAGTGCAACTCTAGATGCCATCATCCTGAAAACGAATCAAATGCAGTAAATATTTTGCAAGACAAATAAGTTGTGTTTAATTATAAAACCATTATCCTCACTGTAAATAGGCGGCGCTAGGCATCATAGAGGCATCCTTAAATTCCGAGAAGCATTGCAGTAGCTCGATACTAGGATTCCAGCCTTTATTTTGCAAATATGCTTGTAACAACATGTACATCTTCTCTGTGACATAACCAGCGCTGCTCGGTGTCGCGGAGTAACCCGATCCTCCACCCGGTGGACCCATTTCAGTTTGCATACCTTTGGCAACAATGTTCTTCATAGTTTCTGCCAGGTCCATTCTACATGCATATAATTATATACATGAATTTCCCGACACAGGGCGAGTTTTTTAATTCATCGATTAATCAATCGCATTGTGCGCAAATATAATTTTATTCAGTAAAAGCTGCATTTAAGCATGTGATCAATTGATAAATCAAAAAACTCGCCCATAATAAAATTATGAACAAAATCTCTACACCTATCTGATACACAATCATTGACTGCATTCAGCAGAACGTTTATTTTGCAACTGTTGGAAGTTTTCTTCGCGCTAATTGGATATTATACTTTTAGATTTAGAGGAATAGTCCTATCTCTGCAGACAATCATAAAACGGTTGCAAAACTCTTGTGTTCTGCTGAATGCAGCCATTGTATGAATGCTTTCCAGCAAGAGACTAGATTATACAATAGGCCTATCCTTTTTTTTTTACTTATAGTTGAACTTCTTGTGCATTCCTGTTTTTCTCTAATGCGAAAAAAAACGAAAGCAAGAAATTCAGCTGAAGAAAAAAAAATAGGCTTTAATGTAACATAGTGAATCA